AAATTAATTTTATAGCGAATTTTGAAAATTATCGATGAAAATTGCAACATCGAAAATGTTATCAAAACTTCAAATATTGTTTTCTCAAAAACTAAAAGTTATTTTTCAAAACGGGTTGGTTCATTGGAAAGAGGACACTTTTATTAACATTTTGGGAAATTTTGTCGGATACTGGATATCCGTTCCACCACTATTGATTACATAAATTAGTTAAACTTGCTACAGAAAGTTGTCTAAATATAGATAGTTAAGAATTCAATTAAAAATTGAGCTTCCCTCATTAAAGCATATAGTGCTGTAAGTTATTAAAATGCTTTTGATTGACGATTTTAAATAAAAACTGTTTAAAAACTTTGACCGGCGCCTCCACCATTTCGAAAATTAGTATTAAGTAATAAAATTTCAAACAAAAATCAAAAATAAGTTCTATAAAAGTAAAAAGCTAAAGAACTCATAAATATGAATACACAAACAAAAAAAAAATTACTACAATTACAGGAATATTCTTACAATGAAGATGAATACCGCTCGCCAAGCGAAGATTCAGGAGTTGGCATGGCTATTAGCGATCGAGTACAAAGGTGAGGATTTTGAAAAAAAAAAGTAAATAAATAATTAACAAAATTAATGAATAATAATAAATAAAAATTATAACAAGAAATAAAATAAAATAAACGAACTCACTAAAAATTTTAAATGAAATAAATTAAAAATTTAACATATACAAATATAAGAATAGTTAATTATAAAAGAATTTTAACGAAAAAAACTTTGTTCTTTTAGAGGTAGACCTGCAAGTGCAGCAAATACGACCGGAAAACACTTAACCGAAATGAGCGAGCAAACGACACAGGTAGATTAAAAAAAACTGTAACATATTCTCCATATACATATAATAATATTATTATTACTAACGAATTATTTCAAATTATCTGTGGTATGCGTACTTAAAAAAAAATACTGTGTTGATTGTTTTCTTCGTTTTTTTATTAACGTCGTGATACCTCTATCTATCTATTTGTTCTATTTTTCTCTCGTTATATGTCTTCGTAGGCTTGTAGTAGATTTATTCGAGTCAAATCTGTAAAATTTTAATTTAATAAAAGTTAAAAAGTTTTCAGATTTGGCTCGACATGTTTTGTAGCACTGAGCACCGACATATCTCTATCATATTTACATTTTTTTCTTTTAATTTAAATTAGTCACATGCACACACGCAACGACTAAAAACTTATGCTATGTTAACGTTATTCATTCTTGTACAGAAATTTTTATTTTATTTTAGTGTAAAGAAATTAACTCATATCGCGGTGATTCTGAAAATAAATAAAATCATTTTAAAGCGAATTTTTAATTTTTATTTATATTTATATTTTAATTAAATGTTATTATATTAATTTCGATTTAAAATGATTTTAATCTTGTATAGTGTTATTTAGACAAAATTAAAAAAAAAATAGTTTTATTCTAGATTTTAGAATTAAAGTAGAAAAATTGTTTTGTAGATACAAAAAGGTTTCATATAAAAAGTTAATCAAGTTTTCTCTTCTATATAAAGTTAAGCTTACTTAATTTAAGTTTTTGTCGAATCCCGAAGATTTCTGCTTGACTTGAACCTGACTGGGATAAGTTATCAAAACTTTTCTCATTTTTCTTCTATTCCGCTTTTTTTTCTAAAAAAAAATAGTCTTAGTTATCCCGAACAAATTAATAGTTTAAAAAAAATTGTTTCCTTTTCTTGTTTATTTATTACTTCAATTACCTCCGACTGTGGCGTAATTACGTCCCGATGTTCATCAGGGACGAATTCCCAGATTTCCCATTTTCCTCTCCGTTCCCGTCCATCTCTGTTTGTTCGTCCGAAACGAAAACACAACTTTACGTAAATTGAAGTTGACCTTTTTTTTTAATTAAAAAAATATCAATTATCTTGCCACTTATCCCCATTTTCGATTTAATTTCCAGGACTATACGAGTGGCGATGAGGACAATCCACCGGGAACAAGAAGTCGACGTCACTCAAGTCCCGGAGAATCTCGAAGCGGAAGCGTTACCGCCCTGCATCAACAGGATTACCCCGATTCGGTGAGATTATTTTTGTTTGATTAAATATTTAATTAAAATTTATCGAACTAACTTTGAAATGAACAACCGAAAAGAGACTGGGATTAATTCTAAGTAAGAAACCTTATGCTGGTTGCAGATTAACATTTGTCGTCGTCTCAGCTCGGTAGAGAACTTTACTTTATTGCTCCTTAGTATTCATAACTTGTAACTTTAATGAACCCTCTTCAAAGAAGCCGCAAGGCAAGCGTTCTATCCGACGTGCCGGTAACAATTTTCTCGTAATCAGATTTTCCCCTCAACTTTATAAAGAGGATATTTTCTCGTGTGTTTCGTTATATTAATAAGAAACATTTCATAGAATATAAAATAAAGTGATAACCATGAACTAAACCTATAAATAATTTTGTCTCCTATTTAATGCATTTCTTCACTAAAATAATAAATCATTTTCTTCGCGCTTTCTCCTCAACTACTTCAAATCAATCACTACGTTTGAATAACTACTTCAATTAGAGTAACAAATGGGGCGCAATCTATTAACATCAGTTGTAATAGACGTTCAATGTACTAATACTATCTAGATATTACGATTTCCTCAATTAAAATGATTCATATCACTATAAATCGTGAAATGAATTAAAAAAAAGAATGTTTAAGAATAATCGGCGTTTATTCCATTACGAAAAATATAAATCAATACAAGTAATAAAAACTATTCTAAGTCCAAGACATTTTTATCAACTTATAATCTTGTTAGCACCTAATAGAATTGAAGCAAAAAATAATAAAATGTTTTTAGTATTTATACTGGGTTAAAATATATCACAGTTTATATTGTAAAAGATAAACTACAACTTAAAATTAAACGAAGACGATTTTTTTTAACTTATCTAAGTTATTATTGGAAAAAATAATGTGATGTATCTTTGTGGTACGCGTAAAATATGGATAAAATAGTAACTAAAAAAATTATTTTAATAATACTCGCTCTTGAAGTTAGGTAACTTAAAATATTACGTTAACAAAACGAGTAAATAACATTTTTTTTTAATTTAATTTTAAATTTATCTCTTAATCTAAACATTTTAAACTACAGGGAAATAAATGGAAATAAAATTGTAATAAAATCAGATTAACAATACGAAAAATAACACGCTTAGTTTTATATTAAAGTTTTTGTTGAATAGCTCTTCTTAAATCTTCAGTTTCTTTCGCCAAACTAGATGCACGCAATTTGTATTCTTCGGCGCGTAATTCTTCAAAACCGTAATCTTTCGGTGGTTCAATTGGGTAGGAGGTTCCACATCGACTTCCGGTACCGAATTTTGGTCTTGGAATTCGTACCCTTTTTACATCTACTAACCAAGCATCCATGATTCGTTCGATTTTCTTTAAAAACCTATAAAAAAAAATTAAATAATTAATTTTTAAAATTTATAATAATCATTTTAAGAAGTATCATACAATCATACTACAATAAAATCTCGATATACCGGATTAATATGGGGAAGGGAGTGTCTGTTGTGCGTCTGAAGATGCACGGTTAAAGCCGAAACTTTCTAGTTCTAGGTCTATGTTAGTTCTAGTTTTAATGATGATTCAGTACTAGGTTGTTTTATGTTTTATTGAACTAACACTAGACCTAGAACTAGAAACATTCGGGTTTAGCAGTCTTAAGAGACGTGCGGCTAAACCCGAATATTACGAGTTCTAGATCTAGTGTTAGTTTTAGTTCTAGAAATAAAACTAGAACTAAGCCGCACGTCTCTTAAGACGGCTAAACCCGATTGTTTCTAGTTCTAGGCATAGTGTCTAGNAATCCGGTTTGGGAATCTTGGCTCTTTAATGACGCTAATTAAACGTGCGGCGGAATTGTAATATGGTCTAGGAGACGAGGATCCCACCTGCCCGTTTGTGCAAACATTGATAATTGCTTTCGGCGGGGACGTATTAACTACCACATTGCTCTGATGCATTATCGAGAAATTAATCAAAGTTACGTAATTGCTACCGGAGTTGCTTCAGTTTAATTTAAATTCGACGGAGATTATCGCTAAAAGCCTTTTTTTTAATAAAAAAAAATTATTTTATCTTAGATAATTAACAAAAATCACTCTAGATGTCTGCATACAAGATCTTTCATGTCAAGTTTACAAAACCACAACAAAAAACGAGACACGATTTTTATTCTTTTTTTGCGAATGTCGCGTGTGAAATATTTATCAGTGGGGGTGCTCAAAAAAAGAAATGGGACTAAATGGAAATGGAGTCATAAAAAATAACCTACACACGTTGGATATAGCGGTTTTTTTTTGAATCATATGTCACGAATAAAGTGTATATCTCATAACCAAAAAAAAAGGAATCTATTTTGTAATTGTTTCAACTTAAACTGTTTAGTTGATAGAATTGAATCTCAACCCCAATGGAGTTCGAGTGAATTCCTAGTGTTACTAGAACTAATACTATACATAGAACTAGAATCATTCGGGTTTACCCGTCTTGAGAGACGTGCGGCTAAACTCGAATGATAGTAGTTCTAGATCAAGTGTTAGTTTTAGTTCTAGAAATAAAACTAGAACTAACACTAACAATAAGCCCAGAACTAGAAACAATCGGGTTTAGCCGTCTTAAGAGACGTGCGGCTAAACCCAATTGTTACTAGTTCTAGATCTAGTGTTAGTTCTAGTTTTAATTGTGATTAAGTACTAGGTTGTTGTATATTTTTATTGAACTAACTCTAGATCTAGAACTAGTAACATTCGGGTTTAGCCGCACGTCTCTTAAGACGGCTAAACCCAAATGTTACTAGTTCTAGATCTAGAGTTCGTTTTAGTTCTAGAACTAAAACTAGACTAACACTAGACCTAGAACTAGATACATTCGGGTTTAGCAGTCTTAAGAGACATGCTGCTAAACCCAAATGTTTCTAGTTCTAAGTCTAGTATCAGTTCTAGTTTTATTTCAATAAAAAATACACAAAAATTAAAACTAGAACTAACATTAGATCTAGAACTAGAAAGTTTCAGGTTTAACAGTACATCTTCAGACATGATAGGATTAGTATTAGTTCTAGTTTTAGATATATTACGTTTTAACAAAGTCCGTTATATCGAGGTTGTACTACATTTACGTTTTAAAGTTACTTGTATTGACAATTCATGGTCATTATAAATGAGTTCCTCGAACAATACAAATTCGTGGAGATAAATTTCCTGGAATCCAACTCGGTGAAAATTTCCACTTTATCCAAGTTTCCGGAAATGGTGTCATAGAAGTTAAACGAAGTAATTTAATATGCGAATTTACTTCGCAACTATTATTTTCCTTTTCTGTTCGTTTTAATGTAACAAAAAAAGATATGGTAACAAAGAGAATGAAACAAAAATTGTAGAATCGCTACTCGCGGGTCATCATTCAGCATAAATTTACATAGAAATCAACCCCGGAGTGAGTGTGCGAATAAGGTTTTTTATGTGTTTTATGAATTCACAGATCTATATGTAAATTTTCGCCCAACTATTCCTTGTAATGCGTTTTTGGTTGTTTTATTTTTGAACTACTTAACCAACAGTAACAGTTCGCTTCTTACTTTACAACCACATTAAATCTTTAATTTCTTTTTGTTGATAATATAAAGACCCAACGGATTAAAGAAGCAAAATAAGCATTTAAAACTTAACCAAATCCTTCTTTTCTTATTCTATAACCACTTAAATCGTTACTTTTCCTTTTGGTTGTGTGAAGAAGCAAAGAAGGTCGAGATAATGAAGAATGTAAATATAACGAACGAGTACACTGGGCCATGAGACACACTGGGAACGTAAAGTATCTCATAAAACGTCTGTACCATTTATGCCAGGAGTCTGGTTGGAACAAAGTTTCGTACCTGTATGCGTGCTCGTCTGAATGTGTCTGTGTGCACTTGTGACCCCGTTTGAGCTATTTGCAGACGCGGAAGGCAAAACGCGAAGAAGAGAGAGACTATGTTGAGAACTCCGTGAAGTAGAAGAAGCATTTTCTTCCTCTAAACGACTATGACACTGACTCACCACGTTCATTGTGAAACGTGCCAGTGTTCGTTGGTTGGTTGGCACTACGTAGTACTTCCTGCATTAACTTTGCCGTTTTCCCACGTAGGAAACGTTTACACAATGCGAGTAACCATGTATAAATTAATCGTTTACATAAATAACTTATGTAGATACTACATTTACTAAATAAAAATTGCATTTTGTATAAACTTTCTCAAAAACTACTTCTTAAGTCAATTTTAAATATTAACATAACGGTCCAAACTTTTAACATCGTTTTAAATTTTAGTTCTTCTTGAATTTTAAATATTGACGGATTGTTTTTTACAATTTATGTAAATTTAAAAGTTGATTGTCGTTAACAGAATGGATCATCACGATTTAGTTTACTTTCACTTGTCCTGAAGAGCAAAGAGAAAGTGAGCAAATTTGATGTTAATTCAACGATTATGGTTAGATCGTGTTGAGTTCAATGACTGTAGAATCTAGGTAATCGATTAAAATCATTTTTTATGGTACACAAATTTCTATGTATACACAATGGTAATGTAAAATCTAGAGAAATTATTTCTGCAAACTGTTCTAGAAAACTGATACCTCTTCCTTTTCTCTCCTTGCAAGATTTTTATTGAATGCAGAGAAGGAGACTTCTTTATCTGACAGTGTGAGAGTTTTAATGAGACTCTATTATTGAAATAGTCTTCTAAGTAGATCCCATTTCTTGATTACCTTGTCAAGCAAGCACATCATAAACTATAACAATTTCTCTTCTCTCCATTTCATCCATCCAAAGAATGATGGTGATAGCCATAGGAGATAAAGTTTCTAGAATTAACCGTTCTTCCTAGGATTGACAAGATATTCTTCTGGTCTTCAGTTGAACATTACGTCTTCTACGTCTTCTAATGTTTATCAACTATGTTTATAAGAATCTATTGTTGCCTTTCATTCCCCAGTTAATTTCTCATTTATGTTCAACTTTGCACTAACAGTAAATTATTTCTTTAATTATGTTAATATAATTCGATTTTAATTTTCCAGTAAAATTAATAATCCGCACAAAACATCTCCGTAACGATATCATCAATCTAATTAGTCTGTCCTGATCTGATGATACCATAGAAAAGTAACGGGCTAAGTTCGACGAACACACAAATATCGACGTGCCAAAGAGAGAAGAACCAGATCGGTCGCCGTTCGGTTAGGAATTTTTCCTTCGTCCTGAACGTACATACTAACTCGGTCGGCGGTCGAATCGTTTTACTCGTGTCCTCTATCCGGGAAATCGTCTCTTTCTGTCCAGATTGCTACGTTTGGCCGACCGAGAGCCATCAGATCCCGGCGGAAATATAAAACGGATTAACCGACCGACCAACTGTGGTAAGATCAAAAAAAAAGTAGATAAGTACCCGGGGCAGACGTTGCAATAGTTGTCGTTCGACATCCAAGGCACTTTATGCCGGGCAAAGGCCTAATTGGAACCTTCCAGATAATTCAACGACAATCTCAAATCCTTGTGTAAGAACGAGAAAGTTTTCCAATGATATTTCGAAATTAAATTAAGGGAATCTTTTTTTAAATTTATTTTGTATCCAATTAAAATTTAATGAAATTAATTGAAGAAAATCGTTAACATTTATCGTAATTTCTTATTAACTGTCCAGATTCGATCAATCTATAGAGAACCAGAACAAAAAAAGTAAATATATAGGGTGTTTCATAATATAAATTCCAGTCCAATAAATTGAAAAAAAGTTTCTATCAACTTACCCTCTAAAATGCACCATTTTCGAGATATAGGGTGTTGAAATTTAATAAAAAATCGTTTTTTGCGAATATCTCCAAACTAAGGAGCTCCCTCATGCATAAAATACATGTTTTGTCTTACTTGAAGCGGTACATCTTCCAGCAGTACTTCTTCCAGAAATTGTCGATTAATTTGTTCGGCAAAAAATGTGGGCCTATCAAATGATCACCGACGACGGCAGCCCAAACATTTACAGAAAATTGTTGTTAATGATGGCTTTTTGCAATTTCATGTGGTTTTTCTTCTGCCGGTAAAAATTGAAAATACCATCCTTCGAGAAAGATGCTTCATGGCTAAACAGAACTTCGGCTCCAAACATAGGAATTCCAAATTCTCCAACTCTTGAGCTATTTTGTCTTGCATCCATGTATAAAAAGCCAATCTTGATGGAAAATCTTTTAGAAATAAGGCTTGTACTCTTTCTGGATACAAAAGTTGCCTTTTAAAAATTCGCCAAACTGTTGAATTAGATAGGTTTAAGTTGTGAACTTGTTTTTCTGGTACTTGTGGTCGGATTTTCATCAATTTCGTTGGGGATAGCCTCTTTTACTTGCTGAT